CCTCGGGGAGTTCTGCATTGACTCCCTCAGGGAGTGCAGTGTTGGCTTCCTGTGGGAGCATGGGGTATTGCATTAGCTCCAACATGGAATCTAGCATTGAATACTGAATTTACTCCCCCACGAGGTACAATACTGCCTCCTTTTTGGTGGGCTGCGCTGACTCCCGCCGGGGGTATTTCACTGACCTCCGCAGGGGACACTTTATTGTACTGTGCATCCTGACCCCGAATGGACCCTAGCAAAGGCACCCACAAGGATGGCTCAGCGACCCCCCATAGACCCCGCAAGGAGGCACCTCGCATGAGACCCACCGCACGGGACCCCACAAGGAGGGGAGGGGTCCCGACTCACAAGGAGCAGACAATGACTCCGATCCACAAGGATCCCTTTCAACAACAATGGATCGATAACTACGGGCGCTGTGGAAAAATCGCAACTCAGACGATGCGACCACACTCCTCGGGGGGTCTCTTCCCAGACCCAAAGAGAGGTCGTTGGCGCCGACACAACGAGCGACTGATTTTCCCGACTTCCCAAACTGTAAACATTGATTTGATGACCCTGTGTGTGGGGGGGGGGTAAGGGTGGTATCTTTGTGTAGGTGGCTTGTGTGTGTTTCCTGGTTTCTCATTTCCCTCTGGTGTCTCCCTCTCTCTCTCTCTCTCTCTCTCTCCCTCTCGTTCTTTCTGTCTGTATTAGTTTTTCGTTTGCTTTTGATTGGATTTCAATGGAAGGAGAGCGGAGCCCAGATCCAGAGGGTTTGTATTTGGATTCTAACTAGATTCCAATTTGATTTCAATAGAAATGGAATGGATTCCGCATCCAGAAGATTCTATTGAAATCCAATAAGATTTCAATAGGATTTCAATCGAAAGAGAACGGGTCCCAGGTCCAGAGGATTTCTATTTGGATTTTAATTTGATTCCAATTGGAATTCAATAGAAATGGGATGGATTCCGCATCCAGAAGGTTTTATTGAAATCAATTAAAACGCTGTGTTTTCCAATAGTTCCAATTATTTCCCATATTTTCCAATAAAAACGCTGTGTTTTCCAATTTTCCAATGTTTTTCAAGGTTTCGGGTACGGCAACGCTGTATTTTCAATTTTTTATTTAAAAATGAATAAAAACGCTTCGTTTTCCAATTATTTCAATGAAAAATCATTAATAACGCTGTGTTTTCCAATTTTTTAATCGAATATCAATAAAAACGCTGTGTTTTCCAATCTTTTTATTACAAACTCAATAAAAAACGATGCGTTTTCCAATTATTTTAATGAAAAATCAATAAAAACGCAATGTTTTCCAATCTTTTTCAACAGAAATCATTTTTTTTTTTTAAAAAAAACGCTGTGTTTTCCAACTATTTTAATGGAAAATAAATAATAACGCTGTGTTTTTTTATATATATAATTTTTTGTTTTAATGAATAAAAACGCTGTATTCTCCAATCTCTTTAATGGAAAATCAATAAAAAAAAACGCTGCGTTTTCCAATTATTTTAATTAAAAATCAATAAAAACGCTGTGTTTTACAATCTTTTTGAACAAAAATTAATGAAAACATTGTGTTTTCCAATAATTCCAATTATTTCCAATATTTTCCGATAAAAACATTGTGTTTTCCAATTTTCCAATATTTTTCAAGGTTTTCCAGCAAGGATCGCGCGTCGCCCCGCTGCCGTACCCGAAACCTTGAAAAACATTGGAAAATTGGGAAACACAGCGTTTCTATTGGAAAATATTGGAAATAATTGGAATTATTGGAAAACACAGCGTTTTTTTTATATTGATTTTCGATTAAAAAGATTGGAAAACACATTGTTTTTTATTGACTTTTGAACAATAATATTGAAAAACACATCGTTTTCATTGATTTTTAATGTCTTCACATAGAACCGAAAGGAATCTTATAAAAAACATCCATAAATACATGCAATAATAATTTGTGCGCACGCTTACGCCTTGAAGCGGTTCTAATGCGTTTCCCACATGTTTCCACACTTCTGGCGCATCTGTGGCGCCGCTGTTTTTTCTGGCATTTCGTGTTTTCACACAGAACCCCAAAGAATCTGAATGAAAAACCAAAACTACATGAAGGAGAGAGAGAGAGAGAGAGAGAGAGAGAGAGGGAGAGAGAGAAAGAGAGAGAGAATGATAATGGGAAATACCGAAGGATACAGGAAACGAGAAAGGCAATGAGAAAGCTGGAGACACACACACACACACAAGAACACACACACACAAGCCACCTACACAAAGATACCACCCCCACGGGGGGGGGGGGGCATTCCCAAAACAGGTGGCGCCCAGCACAGTACGCCCGGACCTAGGACAGCATAACATCCTTCAAGCACATGAGACCCTCCGCCCGCCAAACAGCAGAGCACTCGAGAGCACCCTCCCCAGAGATGCACAGGAACATCCAACAACCACGAAGAACATCAGGGTACCCTTCCCGAAGCGACTTCGACCTTATATGGGAGGCACAAAGACATCTAGTACTACATATCCTCCTTGGAGGTGCCCGTCCGATCCGAACAGATAGTATACCCATCTTGTAATGTATCCCGAGCAGTGTGGCCAAAAAGCGCACGCCACGACGCATATACTACACGACTTCTCGGTGCGCGCGTCGCCCCTGGGGGGGGGGGGGGGCGACGCACACATAGTACAAGTATGTTGGGGTGACGCCGATTACACCTCGCCCCGACCGCAAACGAGAACCAAGGCAGTGCAGGCAACAACTCCAGGAGCCCCGCACTCGCTCCCCGCGCGCCGCGGAGGAGGAGGAGGAGGCGGAGAAGGAGGAGGAGGAGGAGGAGGAGGAGGAGGAGGAGGAGGAGGAGGAGGAGGGAGGAGGAGGAGGAGGAGGAGGAGGAGGAGGGGGAGGAGGAGGAGCTGATTCAAGGACTGGGTTTGGTGGGACCTGATTCAATGATGTGCACCGGGGACGCCACCCCCGCCCACTTCCACTGACCAGACCTGCCGCCACCCGAAAAACACCAACGTCGGCGGCAGACCTGGGTGAGCGATTCTCGCCAATTTGGGGAGCTTCGGGACCCAATCACTAACCGGCTCCCCTAACCCAAGGTCCTGGCTATACCCGATCCTTGACCTGGAGCATGGCCACCCTCCCAAAAACAACGAAAACTGCTGTGCAGCGAGACGCCGATGCAACGCACTGCGACTTTGCCGGGGCCGCGCACCCCGACCCCTTGCCAGTCATGACTGCCCCGTGCGTCGTCGCTGTGGGCCAGCGCGACCCTGAGCGACCGTCGGGGTCTCAGAACCGAGGCGCGGAGCGCGCGCACGCCGCCAGATTCTCTCACCAGACCAGTTTCTACCAAAGCCCCCCAAACATCATGATCTGCGGGAGAAGAGCCCGTCAGCATGAGTTCCCCATAACCCCGTCCACTATACCCGTGTACTCCGGTGCCCTGAGTTGTGAAAGCACAAGGGGGAGCCAATATGCTTTCAACGAATTACACACGTGAAACCTCTACAGCGTGACCAAAAATAGCAGTGCCAATCCGCCTGCGTTTCTGTGGAATCATCGGGCTTTCAAAACGCAGCACCTTCCCTAACACGGAAACGTACACGATGGGGCGCGTACTTCGCGTCGCCGCTAGCTCGTATTCAACGAGGGGGCTGGCGGCAAACGCTTGTGGACGCACCCGCCCCAGGCGCCACGCTAGCCATTCCTCCTGCGGGCACTTCTTTGGGTGTCCAGTGACAGGAGGGAAGGGCGGCTGCTATGTGCACGCTTCGCGTTGCTTTTCCGCGGGGTTCCCCTAGGTCCCCAGGTCCGTTCGGTAAACTATGTGTCCTAGGTGTGACAAGCCTGGAGCGCCGCAGTATGCCTCAGTAGACACGCGCATGCCCCGGTACAACATTAACATCGCCTCCACACGCCCCCCATGAGGCCTCCAAGAAACTCCAGATATCCGCATGGCTACTGCTCATGCCACAACGCTGCTACTACCACCCATGACTATGCGTCCACTTCCGACGTCGTTTCTATTAGTTCTATCGCTACTGCATCTGTAGGCTGCCAATACTGTTGATACTGCTCCAGTACTACTAAGTTGGTTATTCATGCTACTGCCTGATACTCGTATATTTCGAGCTGCTACTACAAGGGCGACAGCACCTAACATATCTATATTTACAATTACTCCCGGCACCACTGCCGCTATGACTGTCGCATTGTCGCCACCGCAATCAGCATTAACACCTCACTGCCACAACCACCATTCCGCTTTTGTTTTTGCTGCCTGCCAGCTTTGTAGCATGATATTACAACTGGTATCGCTACCACGACTACTATTACTAACACTGCCATAACTACGATCACTTCGACTCCTCTTCCGGCTGCTGCTACTACCACGAATGACGGAAGCTGGCGGCTGTGGAACTCCCCGGATGTGCTCGCGTCTCGCCCTCTCCACCTGTCCCCTTTCCGTAGCCACCATCTGGCATGTCCCCTCCCGTCCTCCTGGTAGATGTGGCACACCGCGCGCAGCGTTTTCGAGCGGGCCAATCGGGTCAGCCCCCTTCGCAGAAGCACGCGGCCCAGAAGCACATCTGCTTCTCGTCGGAGCGCCTGAGGCGCACCCTCCCCGCCCGCAGCTTTTTAGCAAGCGGACGACGCAACAGAGGGTCTCTCCCTGGCGGAGAGTGATCATCTTGGGGCACGGCGGAAGGAGCTGGAGCGGAGAGGCCCCGTCAACCTCCACCCCACCTCTGCCGTTAAGCTCCCATGCCCCATGCCCTTTACAAATACACTTTCTGGGTATTACTCTCCTCTCTCCCATGGCTCTGTCCGGAAAATGTTCGGCCCTCTCCGCGCACGGTCTTTCACACAGGGTTTCAGAAGTTGTTTGTTTGATCCGACGGTTGCTTACAATCCGAACGTGCTCGCTGTTTCAAAAATGGTGTACCCGCGGATCGGCGCTTTGCTGCCGTCGCTCAGCTCTCGCCCCAGCGCGGGCCACGTTTCTGGATCCGAGACCTTCTTCATCGTTGTCGCCCCCCCCATTTCCCCTCCTCCGCCTTCCCCTGGTCCTCCTGCTCCTCCCGCTCCTTCCACTCCAGATCTTGCTGCTGGAGCTCGTCCTCGTCCTCCTCCTCCCATATCCTCCTTTTCCTCCTGCTCATCCTCCTGCTCACACGCCACAAGCTTCCTCCTCATACCTACACGGCTCACCTCTTCCGATTGCGCATAGCACGACGTGTTTTGGGGGAGTTCCAGGTCGGCTATGACGCGCGTCCGCGGGTAGAGAAACATCAGCGCAATGGGAAGGGATGGGAGGGAGGGGTAGGATGTCAGATGTGGCGCGAGCGCACCTGGCTTGAATGAACCCCTCTCCCATACCTCAGGCCCGACATCGCAAGTCTCCGAGGCCTCTGGAGTGTCGGCATTCTGAGGATGCCGTCGTGTGCAACGCCAGCGTGTGGAAATCAAGCCCCCATCCACCACTGGGCACAAGTGCAATAGCGCATGCAGTGATGGCCCCAAAAACGGGACCTTGAAAACCAACAACGGGTGTATGTAGACGAGGGGGTGGGAGTCGGCCCTGGCAGTTGAGGGCGTATCAACAACGCAACGCGCAATGACCCTCATCGTCACTGGCTGCAACCGCCACAGTAGCATCCACAATCGCAAGCGCAGTAGCTTGGAGCGCGAAGCCTAGAGAAGTCACAAGTGACGATCGCCGTTAGTGGATGCACCATGACCCTGATTATGGGAACACGTAAGACTCGAATTCGGAGTCTCGGATTTGGTTGACCGAACTATCAGACAAATGACAGGTGTTGATGTGAGCTCCAACTACAAACATCTCACACGACAACTGGACCGTCTAACTCATGCCAAAATCGTTAAAAACGGCGGCGAACCACGTCCAGCAAACTTGAGTCGTACGTTTTCCCTTCCATGCCCACGCCACCGACGGTGTCCTTTTCAGAGCGTGGCCCCCCCCCAGAGTCTCAACTCCTTTCCTGACCAACGAACAACACACACTCAAACCCTCAGGGAGAAGGAATGGGGAAGGGCAAGGCGATGCACGCGATATAGGTATGGGTGCGAGTTGTCGGACCATGAGGGGGGTTCCCGTTCGAGCGGGGACCCCCGTCCGACAACACGCACCGATAGCCCCCCCAAATTCCACCCCAGGAACTCTTAAGTGATGTATGGGATGGGTGTCAGTTGTCAGCATGTGATTTCCGGGAGGACCAATTTCTCATCCCGAGCCGCTTGGACATTCCCCAGGCATTGCAAAAGGCCCCCCGAAAATGCACACACCTTGCGTCCCAAAATGTGGTTCCAAATTGGCTACACGCAAGGGTGGCCCTATGCAAAAGTGATTTTTGGCGCGCGAGCTTTCGGGGGCCGCGGAGGGATCGAGCCCGAGCGTGAAAACGGGTGCTGGAGGACCCCTGTGTGGGCAAACCAAAAGGCACCGATACCGCTACTCCCCGGCCCTCCTGGACCTCTCCTGGGGTGCGTTCTGACCAGAATTTCGAGGCGAATCCAGCGGTGGCGACGAGGGCCTCCCAGGAGGCCCAAAAAGAGGCAAAACGAGGGAAGGATAGTAGTATGGGTACATTTTCCTCCTTTGACTGTGGGCGCACACCAGAAGAACCTTCCGCGAAGCGTCACCATTACCCGTAGCCGATCCAAGTCGCTCCCCGGACCCCCTCCCAAGATCTGTCCTGGCCAGGCGCCCGAGTTGGGTCTAAACTGTGGCCAATAACACCTTTGGAAACGCCCAGGGACCCCCGAAACAAGGAAGTCGACGTCGTCGACGTCGTCTACTATTGCTCGTTAACCTACGTGTTTGACCACGGACCCCTTGCTACCCATCGGCCTTGGGTGGTCTTCAGCGATCTTCGGCGGTTTTCTAACGGTCCTCGGCGGTCTTCTGAGCGAAAGCTGGAAGGAGGCGTTCAACCAGGGGAGGCATTCTCGAACACCTGACTTGGGACGCACAGAGACATACTAATACTACATGTCCTCCTTGGAGGCGCGTGTCCGACCCGAACATATAGTAGACCCATCTCGTAATACATAATTTCCCGAGCGGTGTGGTCAGAAAGCGCCCGCCACGACGCACATACGATGAGACTTCTCGGTGCGCGCGTCGCCCCTGGGGGGTGGCGACGCGCATATGGTATACAGTCGGGCCGCTGAAAGAAGGAACGCTAAATAAGGAACGAACCCCTTCTTGGCCCTGTAAGCGCCTCCGTGGCCCAGGATGACAAGAGGAACAGCACTGGAGGAACCTAAGGAGCATCGAGACCCTTCCGAACCCAAACCGTTCCATATTTCAGCGTCTTGACTGAAAGTATGCTGGGGTGACGCCGATGACTGCCCACTGGAAAAGCACCCTGCCCTCTTCGCCCGCTCGCTCCGCGTGGCCTGCTCGTCGGGCTCGCCGCTCTCCAGCTCCTTCAGCACCCGCTCCAGGGCGGCGGCGACCTGCGCGCAGGCGCCGTC